AACCAAAGCTATTAAAGGATATGACAGGTAGGTGGAGATATGGTCGTAAATCAGCAACAATCTCATTGAATGGTGGAACAGGCTCAAGGACTTAACTGACCTATAGATAACACAGCGTGGAGCTGGAGGAACACACCGGGCTAGGTAGCATCAGAGGAGCAGGAAAGTTGATGTTTCGGGTTGGGATCCTTCTTCAAAAGTCAACTTTCCTGCTCCTCTGATGCTGCCTGGCCCACTGTGCTCCTCCAGCTCCACACTATTATTTCTGACTCCAGTATCAGCAATTCTTAATATCTCTTAAATGACCTAACCTGTTTGTCCACTTCCAATGTCATAAAAATAATTACATGTACATATGTGGCAAGATCTGTTCCCCGATTCTTAATCTTAGGTCTGTCTCTATGAGATCCTACATTACTCTGCTGCCAAGTCTTATGATATGATCATAGTGGATATTGCTTATCACACTCAATCAAACATCAAAAAGGGGCTTTAACCTTTCAGGTGTTAATTCAATCATGACCCTTAAAAGACCAAAAATTCTGATTAATATTTCCTTCCTCTCAGCCAGATGGATAATACCTTGTAAAACTAACTTAGCCCAGTAAGTAGACATTCTGGTCGATCGCTTAACAATGGCATCACTAGGTCAATGCTCTCCATTTTCACCTTGCTCAATAGCCAGCTTCTGCCAATTCCTGGATCCTAACCAAAACCAATTTGGATTTTTGTTTATGTACAGACCTTATCAATTGTTTGCAAGTCAAAAGTCATGCACATCTTCCAAGCTAAATTTTCTCCTTCAGAACTTAATCTTGCTGTCTTTCATCTACAGACCCTTGGTTGAAGCTATTGAAAGCAGCAGCATATTTGTTTTGAATTTTTCTGAATCTGGCATTACAAACAATATTTTCTTCTTATTGCAGGTGCAGGTGGGGGGAGGTAAGAGATGAGGAGTGTGTGCTCCAACTCAACAAGATGACTAGATGCTATTACCTCAAACAGCAACTGTAATACCTCACAGAGACTAAACGTTCAGCAGTTTTGCAAGGAACCCTACTGCAGCTGCACAAAAATATGCAAGCTGCCTCAGAGCTTAATAAAAAAGACCACTGGTGCATAACACTGACATTTTTATTAGAATTCATTTGTAACAAATGGAACTTGTGTCAGCAAAGAACTGATTTTCTTACAGACTTTTTGCCACCAATGTAACCTAAGTAAGAAAATAAAAAGCACGCCTTTCAATCTGTAAAACATTTACGCTAACTACTAAGTAGAGGTAATCGTATGATTCTTTGAACAAGCCATTTTACATTTTGTTTTGTTCAATCTATGCATTCAAACGAGAGCAGTGAACACAATGTTACTTCCAAAAAAAAATCAAGACACTCCAAGCTTCAATGGCAGAGTCACAGAACAAGATGTGTATGATAGAATTTTAAAGCCTTTGAGGGACTTGTTGGAGTATCAGGGCAATATTGGAGCAACCTTTCTCTTTTAAGATTGTGTTATTTACATACATAACTAGAGTGAATGCACAAGTTATACAAGGGTCCAAGTAGCATGTAATGTGGGTGTGTAGAATCATTAGGGCAGTGCATAGTACAAAGTTTCGGAAAAGTGCACATCTGCCTGGAGGACTTCAGATTTTTGTAAAATGGTTCATTAACAAAAAGCAACAGCTAATATGAGGAAATAATCTGCATAAGATTAGCTAAATTAAAATATACTTGTTTTCCACAAATGTTACCTATTTAAATGCAACTAATCAAAAAATTATATATGCATGTATTGCCTAGGTAGAATTAAGGTTAAATAATTATAGCACCTTGTCTGCTTTAAGGGAGAGAACAACATATCAATCTGCAAGTTACAGAGGAATTTGCAGAACTGGAGGTTTTAATAAAACAGTGATACAGGAATGGGAGAGTGCAAGTGCAAACAGGAACACACATCAATGAGAAGCTAAGTTAGTAAATCAACAAATACAGTGGGCATTCTTGACAGCTTACTCCTTTTATTGTAGATTCCTCTGGCACCTACATTCTGATTTCCAATTTAAATATTTCAACATTTTCTTTATTAGTGCTGGGGCAAAAAGAAATACATTCCAAATAGAACCTCAATTGGAAATTTTCTCAGTCAGCAAGTTTGAAAGGTCTGACAAATAGCTCTTGGTACAAAACAGGTATTTTATTTTTAAAGAACAACTATTAACTGAATAGGGATATGAACAGTTATACTTGGTAATGTCAGCAATTGGCCACAACACTGATTGAGGTGAAACTGGCAGTTCTCATGAGGTGATCGTTTGAATTTTATAGGAACAAATGGATTGTTAATATAACATCATGTGAATAGATGCAACAAGATGATATAAAGTCTTGTAGCTCTAACTCCATTCTGAGGTAGCCTTCTGTCAGCATTCTTATTTGAGAAAAAAGTGCTTTTTGCATGATTTCCAATAGTTTTTGACAGTTGAAGGTCAAGCAAACAAAATTAAAACTTATAAAAAAGGATGACTGGCCTCATAGACTGGCTATTCTCCAACAAACTTGATATTCTTCCAATTCATTGTCTATTTTCCTACTGCTGTAACTGCATATAGCCTGCAGCACAAGTTAACACTACTAATTGGCCTACATCACTGTTTCCAAAACTGACTGTATCAAGGACATATTCATTAAAAATTGATTATGTCCAACGTTCAGATGAAACAGCTGGGGTACATTATCTGACAGTAGTCTCTCTGATGCTGATCATTTACTCACATTTTTTATTTCATTCACGGGATAAGGGCATTGCGAGCAAGACCAGTATTTGTTGCCCATCCCTAATTGCCTTGAAGTGAATGGCTTGCAAGGATTATTTTGGAGGGCAGTTAAAAATCAATTACATTAATGTGGGCCTTGAGTCAATGAAGGTCAGACCAGGTCAGGTAAGGATGGCAGATTTTCTTCCCTCAAAGATATCAGGGATTGGAACCAGATGGGCATTTACAACAGTGGTTACATGTCACAATTAGGCTAGCTTTCACTTCCAGATTTTTACTGAATTCAAATTTGACCAGTAGACAAGGTTGGATTCAAATGCATAGCCCTAAAACAATAGTGTGGGACTCTGGATTACTCACCGAATGACTTAATCACTACACCATCACTTCTGTTTGTGTATAATTCACCTCTACTATGCAATTAATATGGCCACCCGTTACATATGCATTTATTGATAAATGATGATCATAATAAAAGAAATGGAAAACACCCAAGTGCATCAGTTAATTAAAAAAAAAAGAAAAATGTACATAAAATACTTTGAAGTAATATAGGGAAAGATAATCTTAGGAGTGTGATTTTTAACACTCCCCTGTTTAGTCTGAGCATATTCTATTTCTAATATAAGCATCATGTTGAAGTTGTTTGGAGCTGCTTAAGTCAGGCTTCCTTTTATTGCCAGGGCACTCTGTCACTGCATGTTCTGGACTGGTACCTATAGTAAACATCAATGATATGCAGTTTCAGTCATTCTGAAGCCCATTAATTATGTGCTACACGTTGAGAATTCTTCATTCCAAACTGTAATATTTTCCCAGCTTTGGAGTAACACTTTCCCTTTGCAACAGATTCACTCAAACATCTGATTAGCAATGTTACTCGAGTGACTTTGCATATTGTTTGGAAAATTAAACTGTAGTCAACAGCAAAATGGAACTTAGTTTCTTACAGAAACTATGGAATATTTTCAATTAAACTGATCTTCCAAATCTAGACCCCACCCTAAATGTCCTTCCTCTTAAAGAAACTAAACATTGAATTTAACCCGGCTTTATTTCTTAGCCTGTGATTATTTCATGTATTTGTACTTAATGCCAGATGTAGCATGTTTGTTATAAAGCATAGAAACAAAATAAACACTTCCCACACTAAGAGGTTTCAGACTTTTTTTATATATATAATGCAATTTATTGCGCACGTGTAAGGATGTGTTTCAGGACACCATAAGAGCCTATTAACATGGGTTACTGAATTCATTGATGTGCATTCCAGTAAACACTAACTTCTCACCATCTCATGACAGAAAACCTAGATAACTAATTATTATTCAGACGGAGGTTGATAGTAACATATTTGGCAAGCATTTCAACCACATCTTAAAATTCTTGATACGGAAGATCTGAGGAATTCAGTAGCAGCAGCTTTATACTTTGCGCCTCCCTGTTGATTCCATAAAGGCCCTTGTTTTTACTTAACTTTGTTATTTTGTCGATTTATTTGTTCTCTGACTGCTACGGGTAACTCCCACTGAAATGAAAAACTCAATCAGACCATTACATGATAAGATAAATAAAAAGGGCTGCACAAAAATGTGCATTGAAAAATTCAAATTATGTCCGTTTCTACAGCCAGATACATACATAATTTCTACAGCTTAAAAAAAAGCTACAGTCTGGAAAAAAATATGAACAAATAAGCAACTTCTTAAATTCACTTCATTGAATGATAAACTTTTGTTAAAAAAAGGGAAAGAAGTTTACACAGTTAAAAATGAAGCACAGGGCAGCAGTATATTACAGTACTAAAAAACTAAATCAGTAATTTCAACATTCCCTCCCTCTTAATAATCAGTATGAGCAAATGGTGGTAAGGGGTGATGTTGAAGCAAACATGTCCAACTAGTTTCTCAAGTCAGGAACTGGCCTTTTCATAACATTTTTCATTCTTTTGTAGGTACAGTACTCAAGATTCAGCTTTGCAATCCATCTTTCACAGTTCTGTGGTAATCCTTTACACAATCATTGTCTTCCAGAACAGGTTTTTATCCTCACTTCTGTCAAAGTTGAATCCTTGAGTTATTTGAAAAATCCTTTTGATGTCACATCAGAAAGGATTCTCCTCTTCTTTTCAATTAGGTTATTAAACTGCCAATTCTTGGTCCACCTGGAATAATTTTTTTAATCCCTGCCCCCCCCCGCCCCCCACCCCAACTAATTTATCTTGAGCTAGGAGTAAGTAGTACTTCTCAAGCACATTGTATGGCTCAGAAGAGGCTTTCTGGATCTTAAATGGCCTACTGTAAATCCATGGTGGATCAGGTTTTATGTTGCATAGTGATCGAAGCTTCCAAGGTACTCCAGTGCAGCTCGATAACAGAATTGATACTGATCCTGCAGAGACACAAGAGAAAATTAACTTCCAATAAAACAGTACAAAGTACAGTAAATGATGCAGCTAAATTTCAAGTTTCACATAAGCCAGTGCACTCTGGCTCAAAATGTGCAGTTCTTGGACTGAGTGACTGCTCTGAACTATCAGCATTACAAGAATGCCATGCAATCCACAAAGTTTCCACCTCTGAAAACAAGCGGTTCCACAAACTTTAGCCTTTGGCATTGGAAGAAAGACACTCGTGTCCCTTTCTCATACAATTAATTGTTACCAGTAATTATTTTTAAAAAGTGCTCTGTAAAACACCATTGAACTTTGGGACTTATCAGCCTAAATACTGCGACTGTCTGTGGATCACAGCTGAACTCTGCGTGCTTCAGTGAGTTACTCACTAAAATGCTCATGATTGATTGGAATTCTTTATTTGCATTCTGACCAGGCTCTGAAATAATGGAAACATCTGCACATCTGTATTAAATTCCTCCTTCCTATTTTAGAGGCATTAAGAGATAACAGACAAGCGTCTCCAAGAAAAAGAAAAGGTGAATTTCAGATGAGCACTTCAAGAATATAGATTGCACAAATGGTGTCCTGTGTATGTATCAAAACTCCTCTGCATTATTGTTTTTAATCCTATCATTTCAAATAAAATGGTTTCAAATATACACTGGGTAGTTGATTAAGAGTTTTTATCAAGCTCATTTTACGTTCCACTTCTTTGCAGCATGACAGCACATTGCCTGTGTTATTGTACTCTTGGGTGAAGTGTTGTGGTGTAAAGGGGTTAAGTGGGAAATATGAAGTCATCAGATCTATCCTCAACTGTCATGCTTGGGTGACTGAGATTTCTGGCATTTGGCCGTTTTGTCTTAAGTTGATCTAGGAATTTGAGACCTATGATCTCCCAATAAAGTTGAAGTAAATTGGATTATCAGGTACACTGAAGTGACAAATCTCTAGGGGAACAACGATAGAAACAAGTCATTTAAAAAATTGGCTTTTTTGAATCAAAATCACCGTTATTTTGGTACATTGTGTTAGTTGTTTTTATAGAACTGTGAATATGAAATACTTAAAGTAGGGTTACTGTCTTTAGGATTAGTAGTTGGACCATAGATGCCTTTGTTACACCTATTTATTTCTCGGTGGGATGTGATTTCCCAGCTTTTATACAGACTCTGTAAAAAGTGTCCCTTTTGGCAGCAGAGGAAGCTTTCCTGACCATTAAGATTATGCGTGTAATCCTTCCCTCAAACACAAGGATCCTGTGTGAATTGCACTCTTTAATTTAGTTTGTTTGGGAATGAGGGACTAAAGCTAGGCTGTGATATCTCCATTCTTGCAACTGGAGCATGACATGCAAGTTATTGGAACTACCAAGGAAAAGACAATACCTGGATCTGAAAATGCAGCAGAATTTCAACTTGCCAAACATACATAGAACAAAAGAAGCTGCTCTGTTCTGGTCCAACTAACTTACTCCCTTTATGAGTCTATCCAGGTCAACCTCTTTCTTTTTAAATGGCAGGAATATTCCTAAAATGCTATGTGTGTTGTGGCATGTTTGTCAGTGAAAAATGGAAAATGAAAATCTATGTTTTATGTAAACATAAAACCTGCACAGTGAATTGCCAAAGACTAATTGAAAATAGCTTCAGTGTCTTTCACTGACAGAAAATGACAAACTGCAGCAGTTAGGTTTGTAGAACACATCATTGTAATCATAGATGGAAACCAGGAATCATTATTCAGGCCAATAAATTGCATTGTCCAATTTCAATTCAAAAAAATCTTAGTTCAACAACTGTCATTTTTCATACTTAACTCAAAAGTAAATAACACTATATCCCAAATGCACAATACTACTTAAATTACCTTCATAAAGAATATACCTGCCAAATTGTAGCCACAATTAACCATTATTTCAGACTTGCTGAACGAGGCAAATTAAAAAATATCTCTGTTGAGCATCACCAACTGTGTGTCTTAAGCTGGTACCACATTTTCTATTTGTGACTGCGAGTATTTTGCAGCAACTATGGACACACCTGCCGATGGGGATGAGGAAGGGAATCAGACTGGGTGTGCTAGGCAAGTGCACACGCACCTCAGATGCTCCATTCAAATTGTGCTAGTCACATATGGGATCTTGCTTTTTGATTTGGACTCTGCAAAGAAAATTTCCAGCAGAACGTTACATTTCTGAGGATAAAACAGAATAAGAAGATCCCTGCAGCAAGTGTGTCAAACTAGTTCCAGCACAGGGATGGTTCTTCCAGACCCTGTTGAGCAGGGTCCATCTAGATAGTGTATAGTTTGATGGCCAATTTTCCATGTTTCAGCACTTTGTGTAGTTTACATGTAGATTATTGGCCAGGTGCAGAAATTTCAGCAATTTGCATCTGCGAAGAGTCCCCCATTTACAACATAGCAGGAGGGTATTGGGAATTCCGCAGGAACTAACTCACCTCCCATTTCCCCAAAACCAGTCTGCAACAAGGCACCAGTCAAGAGTCTGACAGAATACTCCCCACTTTTTAGATGAGTGTAGCTACAAGAACACTCAAGAAGCTCGACTTCAACGAGGTCAAAGCGGCCTGCTGACTGACACCACATACAGCACCTTCAGCATTCATTTATCATTGACACTCTGTGACATCAGGGTGTACCATCGACAAGATATATTGCAATAACTCACCAAAACCTCTTAGTCGATACCTTCCAAATCTACAACCACCATAATCCAGAAGTGAAGGGTTATAGATACATGGGAATACCATCACCTGCAAGTTCTCCTCCAAGCCACTCAGCATCCTGGTTTGGAACTATATTGCTGTGTCCCCTGGATCAAAATTCAGGAATTCTCTCCCTAACAGCATGGATGGCAAAGATTCAAGAAGGCAGTTCACATCACCATCTTCTCCAGTTCAGTTGGATTGGGCAATAAACGCTGGCCGGGTTAGCAACTCTTAACATCTCAAACATCACAAAAACATTCCTTTTGGAACCACACATCTCTCCATTTTTTTAATGGCTGTTGGAGGGAAGTAGATGTCAAGAATGAGCATTGGGTGAGAAATTTTCAGAGTGTGGGACAGTTGAAGAGTTGAAGTCTTGGGAATTCCTCAGAGTGGAGTTGGAAACCTTGTTCCATCTTGTTTGTTCAGAGGTAACATGTCTATATTAAATATATTAGCTTAAATATCTTCAATGCCATGTACTTCCACAAGAAAAGATGAAAAGCATACTCTTCACATTATAATAGGCGAGTCATGTTACAGAACCACAGGATTTTAACAGGTCAGCAGGAGGCCACTCGACTCATTGTCTGTTAATTCCTCTTTGAAGGCCTCAATCGAACCTGTCTCCACCATACTCACAGGCAATGCATTCCAGTTCCTACATGAACAAGTTTTGTTTTGACATTGCTTTGCTTCTTTTGCCTTTTATTTTAAAGGTATGCCCTCTTGCATCATATCCTTTCACAATTATCCCTATCTACTCCGCTCAGACCCCCTCCAAGATTCTGAATTCTTCTATCAAATCTCCTCTCAAACTTCCTTTCTCAAAGGAAAATAGTCCCAACTTGTCAAATCTACCTTCACAACTGAAGCTTGTTCTCTTCAAAAGCTGTCTCTCCCCCTTTAGCTCAGCTCAGTGAATGCCCTGGGCATCACCCCAGAAAATAACTGAAGGTGAGTTTGCAGTTTTCACTAATGCTGTGCACACTTGACGCCAGCATAATGGAAATATGAAAGCATGAAGCAGCTGGTGAAAGCACTAATATACATCGGTTGCTACTCACAGTACTTGTTATGTGGTGCAAAGTATGGAATCTGTTGCTCTTGCTTAAGGTGGGTTGCTCAGATTTAGCTATGCTCGAGAATTTGCAAACTAATACAAAACAGAACAATTTGAGCCACCTCAGGTTTTCCATTCCGTTCAGCATTTAGTTGAACTGATGGGCTTTGTAATTGATCTTGAATATTTAGGTGCATCTTTTCACTTCAAATGATTTTTGTCATTCACTTGGATTTCCACTCACATAATTCTACTTTCTCTCTCCATTTATTCCATTACCCAAACCATTTTGCAGCTGGGCAGAGGGAGCCCTGTCCTGTGTCTAGGTCAATGCAAGCTGCATGCAAGGAGCACAGCGATCATTACCTGTTACTTAAATCAGTTCACAGCATAGGCTGACTTGCTATATCAAAATAGAAACTCAAAAGTTGGCATTCCTCTAATCTCTGGCACAAGAGCCACATCAATATTGTGTGATACCTGGGACTAGCCTCCAGCAGTACAGAATGTGTGAAACCATCTGGAACCCCAAATATAATTGCCAGAATTCACTAAAAATGATGGCGGTAAAGAGCTAATTTCACTGGGGTTTATAGGCCACTTCTCTTCTTGAGCAGTGGCAGAAGGATGATCATCCCACAAAATAAAAAAGTAGTTTTTTCTTTCATATCTCATTCACACATGACTTTCTGTGTACCTCAGTGAACAACAATTTTTCTTAACTCATTCACCATAAAGGATTGTGATCAGACAGGTTTCAGCTATTATCTTGGAATGGAAGTTGTTTAAATGGAGAGCTTATAGAAATTAGAATAAAGTAGCATTTAATTCTTTAAAAACTATTTGCTTACCTCTGTCTGCACCATAGCTGGTCGTTGTGTTCTTAGCATCTTGACAGTCTGAAAGATATCCACAACTCCCTCGTACCTCATTCTTTCCAACACAATACTTAGTGTTATGAAAACACCAGTCCTCCCAACACCAGCACTATGGGGAGCAAAAGAACATTAATTAAATGATAATCATGTGGCTGAGAAACTGCACTGGTAACAGCTTCCCACATATTAAACAACTATTAAGTATAATACGACAGCCAGTGTTTCTGAATGTTTCTGCTACTGCAAACCTTAATAACACATCAGACAGTCAGGGTTTTGTAAACATTTCATAAACAGCCAGTGATGTATGTTGGGTATTTAATTATTTAAAACATGACTAACTTATTTGGCAGTGTTCATTTTTAATTGCTGCAATCTGAATGGTTCTATTTAACGTGCTTCAACAATAAAGTGAATCCATTCCATTGCAAACACAGGTTTCAATATTGCTGTGAAAGTGGGAGGATGAGCTGTGCAGTAAAAGTACACACAAATCTATGTGATCTTTGTTAGCTACATTGTCCTTTGGAGTTTGATAATCACAAACAATATGAAAAGAATTTCCAGGTTTGAAAAGGTCTTCCTTAATTTCTTCTGGAGTAGAAGTGACCTGTACAAGGAGGACGGATTGCACTAGAATTGGAAGGGAACTAATATACTGGTGGGGAGATATGCTAGAGCTGCTTGGGAGGATTTAAACTCGTAAGCAACGGGGGTGGGAGGACCCACAGAGATGGTGAGGAAAGACATCAGTCTGAGACTGGTACAGTTGGGTAGAGGAGCAAGTCAAACAGTCAGGGCAGGCAGGAGAAAAACAGAGAATGAGGTTGGACTGATAAATTAAACTACATTAATTTCAATGCAAGAGACCTAACAGGTAAGGCAGATGAACTCGGGGTGCAGTTGAGAACATGGGACTGGGATATCACAGTAATTAGAGAGACGTGGCTCAGGGATGGACAGGACTGGCAGCTGAATGTTTCAGGGTACAGATGCTGTAGAAAGAATAGAAAGGGGGGCAAGACAGGATTAGGGCTAACATTACAGCTGTACTTAGGGAGGATATTCCTGGGAATATGTCCAGGGAAGTTAGTTGGGTGGAACTGAGAAATAAGAAAGCAATGATCACCTTATTGGGATTATACTATAGTGCCGCCAGTAGTCAGCAGGAAATTGAAAAACAAACTTGTAAGGAGATTTCAGCTTTCTGTAAGAATAATGGTAGGGGTTTTAATTTTCCAAACATAGACTGGGACTGCTCTCGTGTTAAGGGCTTGGATGGACAGGAATTTGTTAAGTGTGTAGCAGTAAATGTTCTGCTTCAGAATGTGGATGTACCTACTGGAGAAGGTGCAAAACCTGACCTACTCTTGAGAAATAAGGCAGGGCAGGTGACTGAGGTATCAGTGGGGGAACACTCTGGGGCCAGTGACCATAATTCTGTTAGTTTCAAAATAGTGATGGAAAAGGCTAGACAGGATCTAAAAGTTAAAGTTCTAAATTGGAAGAAAGCCAATTTTGATGGTATTAGGCACAAACTTTCAAAAGTTGATTGGAGGTGGATGTTTGCAGGTAAAGGGACAGCTAGAAAATGGGAAGCCTTCAAAAATGAGATAACGAGAGACGAGAGACAGTATGTTCCTTTTAGGGTGAAGGGCAAGGCTGGTAGGGGTACGAAATACTGGATGACTAGAGAAAATGAGGCTTTGGTTAAGAAAAAGAAGGAAGCATATATCAGGTTAGACAGCAAGGATTGAGTGAAAGCCTAGGATAGTATAAAGGCAGTAGGAGCATACTTAAAAGGGAAATCAGGAGGGCAAAAAGGGGACATGCGTCAGCTTTGGCAAATAGGGTTAAGGAGAATCCAAAGGGATTTTATAATTACATTCAGAACAAAAGGGTAACTAGGGAGAGAATAGGGCCCCTTAAAGATCAGCAAGGCCGCCTATGTTTGGAACCGCAGGAGACGGGGGGGAGATACTAAACGATTACTTGCATCAGTGTTTACTGTGGAGAAGGATATGGAAGATAGAGAACATAGGAAAATAAACAGTGACATTTTGAAAAACATCCGTATTACACAGGTTGTGGTGCTGGATGGCTTAAAATACATAAAACTGGATAAATCCCCAGGACCAGATCAGGTTTACCCTGGAACTCTGTGGGAAGCTGGGGAAGTGATTGCTGGGCCCCTTGTTGAGATATTTGTATCATCGATAGCCACAAGTGAGGTGCCGGAAGACTGGAGGTTGGCTAATGTTGTGCCACTGTTTAAGAAAGGTGGTAAGATAAAGCCAGGGAACTATAGACAGGTGAGCCTAACATTGGTGTTTGGCAAGTTGTTGGAGGGAATTCCAAGTGACAGGATTTTCATGTATTTGGAAAGGCAAGGACTGATTAGGGAGAGTCAATACGGCTTTGAGCGTGGGAAATCGTGTCTCACTAACTTAACTGCCAGGTTTGGAGAGTCTGAGCTACAGAGAGAGGCTGAATAGGCTGGGGCTATTTTCCCTAGAGTGCCAGAGGCTGAGGGGTGACCTCTTAGAGGTTTTAAAAATCATGAGGGGCATGAGTAATGTGAATAGACAAGATCTTTTCCTCTGGGTGGAAGAGTCCAAAACTGGAGGGCATCGGTTTAAGGTGAGAGAGGAATGATTTAAAAAGGGCCTATGGGGCAACCTTTTCACGCAGAAGGTTGTGCATGGATGGAATGAGCTGCCAGACGAAGTGGAGGAGGCCGGTACAATTACAACATTTAAAAGGCATCTGGATGGGTGTATGAATAAGAAGGGATTAGAGGGATATGGATCAAATGCCGGCAAATGGGACTAGATTTATTTAGGATGTTTGGCCGGCATGGACAAGTTAGACTGAAGGGTATGTTTCCATGCTGTACAGCTCCATAACTCTATGTCTGCCCTCATCGCCACATTTACCTTTCCAATCACCAGAGTCTATATGTCTGGGCTCTGCATAATACACACAAGAACTTAGCTGGTCTTAGAGAACAACAAAACATGGGAGTGTCCTCCTCTTCTTGCAGCCTAAGCAGCAGTGATCTCCCAAGGTGGCACTGTCAATCTGCAGATCCAAGGTACAGAGGAGGAGGAGTGAGGCATTGGGCACTTTGTGCTTGCTCCACCATCCAATAAGATCACGACTGAACTGATTGTGGTCTCAACTCCATTTTCCTGTTTCTCCCTGGGTCTCCATAATCCTCAATTCCCTTGTCTATAAAAAAAACTTGAAATTTATTCAAGGATGAGTTTCATTAAAGAGCCAGCCTCCACTCCCTGCTGGGGAAGAGAATCCCACATTCTAATGACCCTTAGAGAGAAAAAAAAAACCTCATTGGTTTAAAAAGGAGACCTCTTATTCTTAAACTATCTCCCTTAGTTTTGCTGCCCCAAAGTGGAAACATTCAGTTTCCTCAAGATCTTCTATGGTTCATGAAGATCACCTGCCATCTTAGAAAGCTCCAATGAATATAGACAGTTTAAACTTTCTTCATAAGATAAGCCCCTCAAACCAGGAATGAGTCAAGTGACCATCTCAAAACCTGTAAAAGTGTGAAGTAATGCACTTGAGGAGAGCTAACAACATGAAGGGTTAACTTTGAATGGTAGGATCTGTAAAGTATTGAAGTTCAAGTGACTCTGGTGTACAAATCCACAGATGCCTAAAGGTAGCAGGGCATGCCTAAAATTGGTTAAAAATGGTTATGAAAAGCTTGCCTTTATTAGTTGAGGCATAGACTACAAGAACAAGGAGATTATATTGAAACTACACGAAACACTGATGAGGCCTAAATAGGAACACTGCGTTCTTTTCAGTCACCATATTACAGGAAAGATATGATTACACGAGAGACAGTGCAAAGGCGATTAACATGGTCCAGCCTGACCTGGAGGATCTGAGATATGAAGAAAGATTGGATAGTCTGGGGTTGTTTTCCTTGGAGCAACGGAGGTTGAGGGGGATGTGGAAAAAGTGGATAAAATTATGAGGGGCATAGATAGGGTGGATACAAAGGCACATTTTCTATTAGTAAAGGGTCAATAACCAAGAGATAGAAAGCTAACGGAGGGTTCAGGAAAAACCTTTTCATTCAGAGCATAATTGGAATTTGAAACGCACTGCCTGTAAGGATGGTTCAGTCAGAAACACCTCTAAAATTTAAGCAGTGCTCAGATATTCACTTGCGTTGCCACAGCCTGCAGCTGGAAAATAGGATTCATGTAGTCAGATCTTCGTTGACTGGTGCAGGAATGGTGAGTCTAATGGCCTCCTTCTATATTGTAAATGTCAATGAGTTTATGCTAAAGCAAATGTATATTTTTAAATAAAGAGACCAAAACCAGACTGTGTTCGAAATGTAACCTCACTAATGCCCTGTATAGCTGCACTAAAACTTTTTCCCTGTTATATTCCATTCCCTTGTAATAACTGACAACATTCATTTGCCTTTATAATCATTTGCTGTACTTGCATATTCACTTGATATGATTCATGTACCAGGACATAGATCTCTCTGTACAACTGAGTACTGTAATCTCTCTCCATTTAAATAGTAAACTGATTTTCTATTCTCCCCAAGTGGACAAATTCACATGCACCCGTATTATACTCCATACTCTGATTGGGCAGTACATAATCTGTGAGATATGCCATTGCTGTCAGTGGGAGAATGGGCCGCTTCAGTGGCCTCCTCTGACGCTATCCTGCTTAAGGCTCCACCTCAATCCATGCTAGTTTACTACCGCTTTTGGCCCTGAAGTTGGGACAACTCGGGATTTGGGAAAATTAAGCCCCATGGTTTCCTCTTCTTTTTCTTAGATGTAAAGAACCTGGAGATGGCAGTAGATAAACATTAACTTCTGACTTATCCATTCTTGACTTGTTCTTTTTTTAAATTCTGATTAATGCTTGCACAATAGTCTTTCATCTTTCACCCAACTCTCTTAATAATGAAAGAACAATTATATTTGATAATAACATACGACAAAAGATACATCTTCCACTGTTTTAATTCTTCATCTGTGAAACAGATCAGTTTTACTGAGATGAAGTGAATAGGTAAGGGCCATAGTAGAAGGCATTTTCAGTCCTGACTGGAGTAAAAATGAAAAGGCAAATTAAGGTTATAGATAGGCTTTCTTTTGTGAAAGAAAGACTAACCATTTTTCCATAACTTTAAGATACTGGGCAAGATTGAGTGAGAGTCAGGGACTCTGTTAAGTTTTCACTTTATTGGATGATGGTCTATAGAACAAAAGAAGGTCTTGCAGTGCAGTAGTAACATCCCTATCTCTGACTCAGAAGCTCTGGCTTCAAGTCCTACTCCAGGGTTTGATGGCAAAGGAACTGACATGACCAAGCAGAATGAACATCAACTTTTAAGTTCTTCCAACATATGCCAATGGCAGGTATTAAGATGGGAGAGATTCATGGTCAGAAGGATGTTGTTAAACTAAAAGACTGCAGAAAAAAAGAGTTTACAAGGATGTCACTGGGATTGGAGGGTTTGAGTTGTAAGGAGAGGCTGAATAGGCTGGGACATTTTTCCCCTGAAGTGTTGGAGGCTGACAAGATGACCTTATAGATGTTTATAAAATCATGAGGGGCATTAACAAGGTAACTAGCCAAGGTCATTTTCCAAGGGTAGGGGAATCCAAAACCAGAGGGCATAGGTTTAAAGTGAAAGGGGAAAGATTTAAAAGGGATCTGAGGGGCAACTTTTTCACACAGAAGGTGGTGCCTGTATAGAATGAGCTTCCAGAGGAAGTCGTATAGGTGGGTACAATTACAACGCATTTGGACTGGTATACGCATAGGGAAAGTTTAGAGGGATATGGGTTAAATTCAAGCAAATGGGACTAGTTCAGTTTAGGATACCCAGTCGACATGGACTGAAGGGTCTGTTTCCATGCTGTATGACTCCATGACTCTATAAGTGGAACTAAAAGAAACTACTCACAGATCAAGCACGCCCTGGAGATGGAGCATGGGTAGTGCACTAGCACATTTGAGGCTTTCCTCAGCTGCTGGGCACCTCGGGGGCTGCAGTGCTTCATCTCCCCAAAAACAACACTCTATAACATGCACAAATGAAATGTACATTGCCACAGCAATTCACTAGGAGAGTTCCAGTTGGACAGATGGCCTTTGTAAATCAGACTGTGAAAACAACACAGGGCTACATCGTTGTACCTGCTGGGGTGGATTTGAGAACCGCCTCCTTGCTCTGTCACTGGTGGATGTTGTGGCACTGTTGGATGGGCCTGACGTCTGATGGAGAGCTCAAGAAGATCTAACCTCATCTCTCCAAGTTAAAGCTACTTCCCACCCACTTCTGAGTTTTGGCCAGCCAGTGTTGTTGGAGAGCAGTGAGAGTACAGGACCTCCTTGTTGATCAACTCCTGGGCTTAGCAAAGGTGGTCATTAACAGATCCAGGCAGCAGTCCATGGAGACAATTGTTACACTGCCCCTCTTCTGTGGTTTCGCCCACACCTGCTTGGCCCTGGAGACGGAGCATGGGTAGTGCACTAGTGCATTTGAGGCTTTTCTCAGCTGTTGGGCACCTTGGGGGCTGCAGTGCTTCATCTCCCCAAAAACAACACTCTGATTTCAATAAGTTTCCTTTGAATAAGTGCCCCTCTGAGGCACTGTCATTGGTTAATTGAGATAATTTGTTTCATGGGTTAGTCAAACGGCATAAAGGAGGTCTTGTCACTCAGTGGGTTGCACACCTATTGCTGAGTCTGAATTTTCTGGTTCAAATCCAACTTCAAGACTTATGGTTAAAACATTCATAAATAGCATAGAAAGACAAGATTAAAAACTGAAAGAACTGCGGATGCTGCAAATCAGAAATTGCTGGAAAAGCTCAGCTGGCAGCATCTGTGAAGAAAAATGTGGAGCAGTGCTGCTGGAAGCTAAGTGTGCAACATGAATAGATTAAAATTTACTCCTGTCTTTAAAATTACAGGATTTACGTTGCTCTAATGAGGTGTAATTCAACCAAAAAATTCACAATAACAAAAAATAGCTTCAGAACATTTCACTGTGTAGTTTAAAATTTAAATTCTATGAAAAGGACTGTTGAGCATGTGATGATATGAAAATTCAGCACCAAATGCCTTTCTCCATCAGTTGGAGTCTGATTTCTTTATTCCCATTTTGTTTAATGCACATTTCACCCAGAATTGAAGCAGAGAGACATTTCAAAGCATCTATTGTGATTTATCCAAGGGCTATCAAAAGTCACAAACCAGTTTGCAATGTGAAGGCTTTGCTGGTGTAAGAAGCATTTTCCATTTCATACAGTCTCTGTGATTCTGCTTTACAAGCTGATAATGAATTTTTGAACCTGTGCCACCTCACAGTTACTCAGAACTCCTTTATGCAGTTGATCGAAATTCACCTGTGCAGTACCTTCGGTATTCCCTACGCTACCAAGCCTACTTTACAGAACAGATCAGAGAGTCACCTTTTCCTTTAACTATCCCTCTTCCTTCAGTGAGCAAGAGGCAATACACTGGAGAGATTACTCACCTGCAGTGAACGCTGATGGGTCCATCCTGCCCAAATTGCTCTTTTGTCTTGTGCACTTGGCCTATGAAATCAATAAAACCTTCGCCAGACTTTGGCACTCCTTGCTCTGGCCAGTCAGTAAACTGGAACTGCCTTACTGTGCGTGACTGACCATCCTGTTTTGTCCCCATTGAAAAAGAGAAAGAAAAACAGGGCTGAAACAATGAACCACACCTCATTAATTTCTCTGAAGAATCAGAATAAACTGAACAAACTGCAGCGCACATAGCAGAGCAGTGCTTGCGGTTCATTTATTTTATGCTTTTCAATACCAGTTAACAGAAAAACCAGCCTTGAAGATTGAGCTGCAGACTTGACAATTTGAAGTAATGCACTAATGTCAATAGATCTGAGACTGCTTCTAAATTCATGTCATAATTCACTCAGATCCAATGCTCCAATGTCTGTTTTTCTTGACTTGCTAATCTTCTGACTGCTTTGTGTGGTGCTTTCTTTTCACAATATATTGCCATTTAACAACAACAAACATTAACTTCTTGCTGATATAAAGTCTGAAAGAGTTGACTGAAAGCTTATGTTGATAAAATTGAGAATGAAAAATTACAACATTCCTAATACATGATAAAAGCAGTCGTTGTCATGGATTTTAAGCTCAGCAATATTTATAAGACAATTAGTCAGCATTATGTATCTGACCAAGAATATCTGTAGGGAAATAAATTTAGAGACTAAAACCTGAGGCTAACACTGTTTTCAAATGGTAACAGTAAGATAAAATCAGTTCAACCACTTTTAGTCCAGTCTTTGTGGAACACTGCAGTTGAATAATTGTCACATTTGTCACGAGAACATTGCTAATAATTTGTAAATCATTTGGACTGCATTTATCCAGGCTACCCTTTTAGTTTGCAGATGTCACATAGGTGATGTTATAGTGGCCAGACATCAAGTAAAGGGTATCATTTCCTTAATATTACAATAATTGTTGTTTGTTATATTGTTATCTTCAGAAATTGTGTGTCAGCTCAAATCAAAGTCAATTTACACTAGAATAGTAAATGATGAATTCAAAGACACTTTCTTCCAGCCCATTCTCAAGTTGCTAAGGAAGTAAAAGCATGAACTTTTCATGACTGAACTGTTACAAATTCAATGTTATGTGTGTATTTTATTATTTTTGCTCGATTGATTTGTTGGTAACATTCACCTCAATAGATAGTTGTCACCTGCTACAGTCATAAAGGGTTATAGGCTATTTGGTCCATCGCGTCTTTTAAAGCCTTACTTACCAACTATGTTTTGAAGTCATTTTTAAATAATTAATTTGATTTGACATCAATGGCTTTCTGCAAAATCACATTTCACATTCTCATTACCCTCAGAATGAAGCCATTTATTTCGAATTTTGCAGAATTAAAATTTTCAAACTTTGTTCTACACTTCCCTACTATGGGAAGAGTCATTGCCCACCCATATATGATATCAACTGTGCGAATCAAATAGCTCCATAATGTCCAAACACAAAAGTTAGTTCTCTGCTCAGTGCTCAGCCCTTCACTCCAGTGTCATCCTGCTGAATCATTACAACTCCAATACTATAATATCCTTTCCAAAGAACCATCTCCAAAACATGAGCACAATATATTAAACTGGATCTGACCTGTACTATGTATAATTGGAGTAGTCTTCTATCTCGGTATATTCTAAATCACTTACAAGGTTCACCTTCCCACATGGACTGAACTGGTTCAAGTTGGCTGCATACCACTACCTTTATACCACAATACATGCAATGACTCCCATTTTATGAACATAAATTTTTAATGCTGTTTCTTCTACAATGTGGTGCCTCAACCTTGTTTAAGTATTGTATTAAGTCAATATTGTTCTGCAATAGTATTATCATTTTCTTAAAATGCTCTGCTCTTATTCCAAGTTGAGAGTAACAAATATTGGTAAAGTTTACTATGTTCAAATTTGATCCATTTATATTCTGATCAGACAGGTAGACAGGTCACAACAGTGGACTGACCATGCTGCCCAATCCAACTTTGGCATACAGTCTGCAATCTTTCACAGATAAAAACCAAAAGAACTGCGGATGCTGTAAATCAGGAACAAAAACAAAGCTGCTGGAAAAGCTCAGCAGGTCTGGCAGCATCGGGTCACCGGACCCGAAACGTTAACTCTGTTTTCTCCTCCACAGATGCTGCCAGAACTGCTGAATCTTTCACAGATATTCAGGTAAAGCATTATAAGTAGGCCTTGTTGCAAAATGATGGCTGAACTGTAATAAAATTCACAATTTACCGGGTTGCTATATTCATAGAAATCATAGAATCCCTACAGTTTGGAAACAGGCCATTTGGCCCAACAGGTCCACACCACCCCTCTGAGGAGCATCCCACACAGACCCATTTTTCTACCCCTGCATTTCCCATGTCTAACCCACCTAACCGAAACATCCTTGGACACTATGGAAAATTTAGCATGGCCAATCCACCTAGCCTGCACATCTTTGGACTGTGGGAGGAAACAGGAGCACCCGGAAGAAACCCATGCAAACACAGGGAGTATATGCAAACTCCACACTGACAGCCACCCGAGGGCGGAATCAAACCCAGGTCCTTGGTGCTGTGAGACAGCAGTGCTAACCACTGAGTCACTGTGCCACCCATTGTGGAATGCCTGTGGACCATACACAGGTACTATATAGCAGATTCTCAACAGATGCAAGACAGATTTTGGTTTTACCAAAAGGAGAAAAAAAATTTCTTACCCTAGCATCTGTAACTTTGAACTCTCTGAGAATGTATTGTGGCATGTTGTACTCTGCCATGGGGTCTACTACGAAATACTGATACCTAGCTGATCGCTCCGCAGGCCAATATTGGTGACATTTCTCCTGAAAAACACAAAAATAACTGTGAATTGAGAGGCATTATTTCATCCGGTCCATTAAGCATTTTCGAGATTCCCTGGTGTTCTAACATGTGTCCAATATTCTCTGTAAAACAATTGGAGTGGTGCTGGTAAGTTATTGTGCCTTCAGAGGTCTCAAAACAATCAAAGCTGTGTGGTTGACTAGAAGTCACAGAGGGTGAAATTAGTCATTTAGCCACTTAAGGACGTTTCATTTAAGTTTTGCAGAGATTTGGAATCATTGAAGCTTCTATAGATTTCAGTCTAGGGGACAGCAAGTAGTTGAAGCTAGAAAGTGCTGGAATTGCTCAAAAGGTTACCCAGAACTTTAAAAGGAAAGATTTTTAAAAGTTATGGCAGTGGCCTTTCATCAGAACACATTTCAGAACTTGCTTAAAACACTTCCTTTTAACATGTGTATAATTTCCTTTTTAAAATGCAGAGTATTTCATTCATGTTCTGCTATTACTTTGCATTTCGAGTAATTAGAAGCATATAATTCCAAAAGCATTTTCCTTTTCCTTATTAAACACATTAAACCACATATTTTGACACCAATGCATTAAAGTTTAAATGGTACTACTTGAGATAGATGTTTGCACAATGCATGACCCAAATTTGTTTGTGTGCAATCCAAAGTGTACTCACTCTGCCCATTTCTCGTAGTTTGGTCAACATAACCACAATTGTAGAGTTGTGCTCCCAAAGCATTCTCCAGAAATCTTCTGTTGTCTCTGCTAAGGGTCCCTGTGTGGCTATATATGCTTTCTGCTGCCTGTAAGTAAAACAGACCAAACGTAACACGTGGCTATGTTGCTCCCTTTCATCAAACTACACATATGGCAAACGAGTCAACTGCTAGCAGACTTACCTCTCTTTGCACAGCTGGGATCTACTATGCATTTGTTGAGGAACATAATAACATTTATATTTCAGAGAATCCAGCGGGGGAGAGATTTATTCTGTGAGGTGTGCAAAATGGGAGGAAGAAACAGCCTTGCCTTTATAGTCATTAATATCCAATTAGGACCAGTAATTATATCTCACTGAATCTCTGATTGTGCACAAATTATCTTTATTCTACGCAACATGTTTTTAAACAAATTAAGTAAGTACTGCCTTATTACATTTGTTCACAGGGAGGATAGTAAAAGCTTGCAAAGGTCTGTTTAACGTGATAAGATGGGGAATGCATCTTTACTGGGGTGAGATTAACTCTGTCAATGTTGCAATGTTTCCCAGTTATAAAACATGGGATTAAAAGATATTTGAGATTTGTTTCCACTGGCTGTAAAAATGTAGCATATGATTCATACAAAGGAGGTTATATTGTAGGTTAGTGCCATCTTACTGTTCGTTCATTCCCGGCTGACTGTAGCTCGTGAATTTGCCCATGTTTGCTCGTCTATCGCACTAATCAATAAATAATTTACAAAGACTGTTATGATATCCAGCAACCATCACAGAGCAACAAGCTCAAGTAGAAATCTGAATATATACAGAACAATGATATCTGGATGTGAAATTGTTTAAAAAAATTATTTACTTAGCACTTCTGCATGTAGTTGACATATTTTCATAAAATGAAGTAAGTTTTGGAGTGGAGAACACAGTAGTCTTACTGAGTGATTCAACACATTTATGTACAGAATACTGATTACCTGGAAGTGATTCTCAGGTAATAATCTTCTCAAAAATAATAATAAAACATGAGAGAAAAAGACAGATTTTACACTCTGAGATGTCACTGTCCTTTAGAAAATATTTTCTAATTTAATTTGGGGCAGCTGCCACTATCAGTGTGGGCATAAACTACTCCAAAGCTTTAATATGTGAAAATAATTATTGTTATATCATTATTGCATTTGCAAAATCATTTGCAGTTCATTGTTGGTAAATTCTATGACGGGCTTAGATCATGAAGAGAATAATTAGATGCTTTACAAGGCACAGTGTTATCTCAGGCTTTATAAATAAGGTCAGAGTCTTAAAATAAGGTTACAGCCTGGAATTGTTTATTTCCCTTTATATCGTGGAATTCATTATTTTATAACTGGTTCTTGATTCTACACACTGTACCAAAACAATTTATTGCTGACAAGCAAATGCCATTTTTTTGATGTATGGTTACATCCACCCTAACAAATGAACAAAAGGGACCAGATCAATGCAAATCAGTTGACTAATAATAACCAGTTGATTTCCAAAAAAAAAAATAGTGGCAATATTGATTTCATTCACTTTCATTCTTTGTTGTACAAGTGCAACTGAGGACTAAGAGTTACAGTCTGTCACCTACAACAGGTTCACATTTCAAGACCACTGATATACCCACTTACCTATAACCATCAATAAAACTGGCATTAATATAGTCTGAGCCCTCAACTCCTCTGATTGGTTGTAGACATACTCTCGTAGATTCGTATGGCATAATATTAACAAGGCGATTCTTGAATTTATTACATGGAAGGTTGGCACTAATGAATCTTGATGTGTGGGCTTTCGTGTTGGCAAGACGCTGCAGGGAAGAAAAATAATGAGTTTTAAAGTTGCCCGAGACTTGGAAAGTGGTACTTTGTAGAAGTCAGTTTCATGACATTCAGTCTAAAACTGGAGTTCAACATTGCTGCAATTGACATCAATAACAGTTGAGGATCAGAGGAAGAAATACATGTCAAAGCCAGAAGGAGGAAAGCTTCCTATGCTTCTGAACCAAGTACAAGAACTATCAACCAAGTACTAAGTGAGCAGAGGTCCACAGTACATAACCTGGACAAAGCTAACAGTCCCAGTCAGTGAAGGATGGCTGATGCACATTGTTGGGGCAGAAGTGGGGGACAACTACCAAACCTTACCGGAGATCACATGGTACTAACACTGTGTTTCCCAGCACTGTCATTTAACATCAAGACAATTCATAAACCGCTGAAAATTGCAATTGTCATTTATTGATACAGATATACTTGTTGAGGTGGTTGTTCTGAATTGAATAACACTGCAATAATAACTTCTCTTCTCTCTGTGTTAATAAGATATCCTTTCTTTAATTTTTGAGGTTGTGAAGTACTTGACATGCACAAAAGTATAATCAATACAGTGTTAGTTACTGAGTTGTTGAAGTTACTTTAGCAATTGGTTACTCTAATTGGTTAACTGTTTGAAACTTTTGAGCTATAGCAGAAAGAAAGCTGGAATTTCCTTCACATTACCTTGAATTCCAGTTCCATTCCTGTGACGTTTTCTCCTGGCTCCACTTGTGTCAGCTTCTGGATATACGCGTATAGGTTCCTGGCTGGCACTTCGGTATTTCCACAAGTCACTGCTTCAAGCAGTGCATCATGAATAAAGATATATTGGTCCTCAGTCTGAACCATGTAATTCCTCTGTGATCTCATTAGTGTTACATGACCATAAATATCTACAGTTTTCTCATGCTTTATTCTCTCCAACATGGCATCTATTACAATGAAACAACCAGTCCTTCCAACTCCAGCACTGTAAAAATAAAAGGGAAACCCACACAGATTAGGGTTCATGACAAATCTCATGTTTCATGTGTTCTGCATAGAGGTCAGTGTATACTCTCAAAGTTTACGGTATTACATTCAATTTCCTTTTGGATCTGTTTCACATTTTGCACTACTGCCATTGATTTCAACTTTTCAGTGATGTAAAATTGTTGGATAATGTACGCTTGAAGACATAAAACTGGCATTCCTATTTAAACAAACATACTGGGTTTACTTTCAAGTTTTTGAAAAGCCTTTTAAACATGAGCAGAGAACCAATTGTCCCGTCAATCAGTACTGAAATGCAAACATCCCTGGCACAGTGGTGGATATGATTTGCGTGATCAGAGACTGATGCAGAGTAACTGGGATCTGTCAGTTTTCATTGCTGCAAGCAAGTAACTTGCTTCAAACTGATACATTATCATAGCTCAGTCCAAGGCTATGTTTTACGAACCAGTAAGGGTCCTATCACAAAACATCTGCTTCCAGGATACCATGTTTCTAACAATCATATTTTCCACTTTTAACTTTATCCCAAAAAGGCAACTTCACTCCTACATAGTGACACAATATGCTATTTCTATTTTGAGTTCTATTTTCACTTCTTAGTGGTGTTTAAAAAGCAACAGTTTTAACAAAATAATGAAATACAGGAAAAGTCAAAAGCATTGTGCACTGGTAAGGTCTACATCTTCTTTGTTTTTCAGGTGTCTTTTTCTTAAGAGTCTGAAAGGAGTATTTCCTTCTGTACAGATTCATTCATATTCTGAGACTACATTGCTTAGAAATACACTTGTGGTTGTATGGATGGAGGACATGTGAAAGGGACTGGAAAAATGCAATTTTTGCATCTATAAATTAGCCCTGGCAAACCTCATGAATGGAAATGAAAGTCATATTCAGACTTCATTGGCTCCTCAGAATATTATATTTATAATAATAATGGCCGTTTAGTTCTTTAAAAAGCACCAAAATATTCAACTTACAAAATTGTTTCTATTTCAAGTTAAGGGTATGCTCTAAGATTTGGCTGCTGACTTTGTTTTATAAAGTCTGGAGTACAAGCCTTTGTAACGTGAAATCTCATGATTAAAATTTCATTGTCAAACAGGTGAGCAAACACTTCCGGATCAAGAGGAACTCAAGTACTCGAGTGTGCAAGTCCGAATAACAGCATTTCTCACCTATGTCCTTGTGCCTAGAGTAGTTGTTCATTATTGCAAGTGAATTTGACATGCAAATCTATCATTTTAAGCATGTAGCTGTGGTAAGAACACATTATTTAACAAGCTAGTTTGTTATTTCATCATTATTGCATTTTTCAGGGTGTAAAAGGTACCCAAAATTCTCTGGAACCTTTTCATTAGTTTCGAAGTGTCGTCACTATTCCAATGTAGGAAACACAGCAGCTGATTTGTGCACAGCAAGTGTCATAAATTGATAAATAACAATAAACAGGGAACCTAATTAGCTGGATGTGGCCACCAGTGGCCCACACGAGCTGTGTTAGAGATTCAACCATTCACCACATTTATAAACAACTTTTGGGATGGGACAAAAAGCCATCTGTCCGAGTTTACCATTACACCAAGACAAGAGGCAATAAAACAGTGTCAATGGAATCGTCAAATTACATAGAGATATCGATTGATTCAGTGAATGGATACTATTGTGGTAAATGGATTTCAATGCAAGCAAGTTTTTTCAATGCAAGCTAATCTTTAATTATGGAACTCCAAAAGGTAGAACAGTAAGCAGAGCTGGTGCAAACACCAGGCAATGGTGTTGAATGGCAAAATTGCAGGGAAGTGGCAAAAATGTAAATGAGCTATTCACAAAATTACATCAGTAAATGAACATGCTTCAGCGGCAGAAATGAGAGGTTGGCATCTACTTATGTGCATCCACTTAGATTGACAGGCATATAGATTACTATATGTTAATACTTCAGTTTTTCCCAACACTGCATATTTATATTCCTCGTTCTGTTTATGTGACAGTTATACTGATTTATGCATTTATAGGACTATTCCAAAATCATGAACCAGTGAGTAATATCAAAGAACGTAATCTAATCAAGCCTGCTCAATGCTAATGATTATTAGTTGTCTAAGCTATGCATAAAATCATCCAGTAACTGTTGCATCAATATAATAGTTCTCTATGGGATCCACAATTACATGTTATAATATGCATTTTTTGCAGCTTGTCATAGAAACATACAAAGAAACAAGACAGAGCAGAAGTAGTCCATTCAACCCCTCGGGTCTATTCTACTATTCAATATGATCATGGCTGATCAAGCTCAATACCCCAAACCATTTAATCCATTTACCCACAAGAGCTATATCTACCCGTTCCTTGAAAACACACTGATTTGGCCTCAACCACTTTCTGCGGTAGTGAATTCCACTGGCTCACCACTCTCTGGGTGAAGAAATTTCTCATCTCAGTCCTAAAAGGTTTACCCTTAATCCTTAAACTATGACTCCTCATTCTAGACTCCCCACACCATTGCGAACATTCTTCCTGTGTCTAAGCTGTCTAATTCTGCTAGAATTTTATAGATCTCTATGAGATGGCCCCTCATTTATCTAAACTCCAGTGAATACAATCTCAACTGTCTCACTCTCATATGTCAGTCCTAACATCCCAGAAATCAATTTGGTAAACATTTGCTGTACTTCTCTATAGCAAGAGCATCCTTCTTCAGACAAAGAGACCTAACTGCACACAATATTCCAGGTGTGGCCTCACACACGCAGCAATGTTCTTGTTCCTGTACTTCAATCCTCTCAGTACAAAGGCCAACATACAGTTTACCTTCTTTACCTGCACGCTTAACTTCAGCATGAGGACACGTAGGTATCATTCTATCAGATGATCCCTCAGTCTCTGACACACTAGTGAAAACAGTTTAAATTTGTCCAAGAGTCTTTCCAACTGACCTATATCCTACCTTTTCCTTTGAGAACCTTCCTCACTTCAAAATCTCCCCACCCCCGACTGCATCCCAAAACCAGCCCAGCTCGTCCCCACCTCCCTAACCTGTCCGTCCTTCCTCCTACCTATCCACTCCTCCCACCTCAACCCCAACCCCTACCCCTATCTCCTACCTACCAGCTTCATCCCCGCCTCCTTGACCTGTCCGTCTTCCTGGACTGACCAACCTCCACCCTAACTCCCCACCTACACTCACCTTTACTGGCTCCATCCCTGCCTCTTTGACCTGTCTGTCTCCTCTCCACCTATCTGCTTCTTTATCCGTCTTCCATCCGCCTCCCCCCTCTCTCTATTTATTTCAGAATCCCCTTCCCCTCCCCCATTTCTGAAGAAGGGTCCAGACCCGAAATGTCAGCTTTCCTGCTCCTCTGATGCTGCTTGGCCTGCTATGTTCATCCAGCTCTACACCTTGTTAAGTTAAATTTGTCCAAACTCTCTTTATGGCTAATACTCTCCAATCCCGACAACATACTGGTAAATCTCTTTTGCAACCTTTCCAAAGCATCCATATCATTCCTCTAGTGTGGCGACCAAAATTGCACACAATACTCCAAAAATGGCCTAAATGATATAGCTGCAACATGACTTGCCAACTCTCATACTCAGTGCCCTGAATGATGGAGGCAAGCATGCCATACACCTACATTACCTCCTTATCCACTTGTGTTGCCACATTTAGGGAACTATGGACTTGCACTCCAAGATCCTTCTGTATGTTAATGCTCCTAAGGGTCCTTCCCTTCAATATTTACTTTCCTCTTGCATTTGACCTCCCAAAATGCATCATCTCACACTTGCCTTCATTAAATTCCATCTGCCATTTCTGTGCCCAACTTTCCAACTGACCTATATCCTACTGTATACTTTGAGAACCTTCCTCACTGCCCACAACTCCACCAACTTTCACGTCATCTGCAAACTTACTAATCAGACCACTTACATTTTCATCCAAATCATTTATACATATATTACAATCAAGAGAGGTCCCAGCACTGATCCTTGCAGAACATCACTGGTCACAGACTTCCAATCAGAAAAACTGCCCTCCACAAATACCCTATCTTTTATGATCAAGCCAAATTTGTATCCAACTTAGCAACTCATCATGACTTAATGGACCTGCCTATCATGAGGAACCTTGGCAAATGCTTTATTGAAGTCCATGCAGACAACATCCTCTGCTATACCCTCAATCATCTTTATCACTTCCTGAAAAAACTCACCAAATTTGTCAAACAAGACCTCCTCTGCACAAACCCATGCTGACTATCCCAAGTAAATCCATTCTTTTACAGATGTGAGTAAATTCTTTCTCTAAGTAACTTCTACAATAATTTCCTTGCCACTGAAGACAAGCTCTCTGGCCTATAATTTCTGAGAATATCCCTGTTGCCCTTCTTAACAGAGGATCAACACTGGCTATTCTCCAGTCTTCTGGGACCTCATCTGTGACAAAAGAGTACACAAAGATCTCTGTCAAGGCACCAACCATCTCTTCCTTTGCCTCCCTCAGTATCCTTGGATAGATCCCATCAGGTCTTGGCGATTTATGTACTTTAATGTTTTTCAAGACATTCAGCATTTCCTCCTCCTTAACATCAACATGCCCTAGAATATCAACAAACCCCTCCCTAATCTTATTGTCATCCATATCCTTCTCCTTGGTGAATACCAATGTGAAGTACTCATTAAAGACCTCACCCACTTCCTCTGGCTTCTTCCATGCGTAAATTCCCTCCTTTATCCTTGAGTGGACCTCCCCTTTCCTTAGCTACTCTCTTCTTCCTAACATATATAATAAATAGGGAGATAGCAAGAACTGCAGATGCTGGAGTCAGAGACAACACAGTGTGGAACTGCAGGAACACAGCAGGTCAGACAGCATCAGAGGAGCAGGAAAGTCGATGTTTCAGGTCAGGACACTTCATCAGGACTGGGAAGGGGGAAGGGAGCTCGGAAATAAATAGCAGGAGGAGGGAT